CCTAAAATTCAGGCTGCCCTGGCAAAGCGTCGGGAGGTGGGGGTTGGGTGGAGGAGGTTGAGTTGAGGAGGTTGAGGTCGGATGGAGGAGGCTGAGGTTGCGTTGAGGAGGTTGAGGTTGCGTTGAGGAGGTTGAGGTTGTGTTGATGAGATTGAGGTTGTGTTGATGAGATTGAGGTTGCGTTGATGAGAATGAAGTTGGGTTGAGGAGGTTGAGGTTGGGTGGAGGAGGTTGAGGTTGCATTGAGGAGGTTGAGGTTGGGTGGAGGAGGTTGAGGTTGGGTGGAGGAGGTTGAGGTTGCGTGGAGGAGGTTGAGGTTGGGTGGAGGAGGTTGAATTGAGGAGGTTGAGGTTGTGTTGAGGAGGTAGAGGTTGTGTTGAGGTTGATTTGAGGTTGAGGAGGTTGAGGTTGCGTTGAGGAGGTTGAGGTTGCGTTGAGGAGGTTGAGGTTGGGTTGAGGTTGCGTTGAGGAGGGTGAGGTTGGTTAAGTTGGGTTGGGTTGGTGATGACCATGAGGCGTCTCCCCCCTGCCCGAGCTGACCCCGGGGCGGCTGCCTCTTCTCGTGCCCAGATGACCCGGACCCCGACGACGGATTTAATTATAAACAAATGATGGTGCGAGACGAACGACGCTTCAAGATGGCTGACAAGGACGGAGACTTGACCGCCACCAAGGAGGAGTTCACCGCCTTCCTGCACCCCGAAGAGTACGATTACATGAAAGATATAGTCGTGCAGGTGGGTCCGCCGCGGCACAAAATTCCCTGTTTCTGGCAAAAAAAACGGATGGAGGTTGGAAATTCGGGCGTACATCTGCTCCGTCCCTGGGGAGACCCTCCCACGCCACAAAATACAACTTTTTTTGGGTGGTTTTTTTTTTTTTTTTAAGCATTTTTTTGGCATCCTCGTCCTCGCTGGCGCTGCCACGGGGCTGGATCAATCCCGATAAAGGGATTGCGGCGGGCAGGAATTGCTCCGAGCCCGACTTAACCGCCTTCTCCTCCTTGCAGGAAACCATGGAAGACATCGACAAGAACGGGGACGGCTTCATCGACCTGGAGGAGTACATAGGTGA